CTCCAAGCATCAAACAACTTGTTTTAAATGAAGTTGTTGTGGTGCCTCCAGGCACCATAACAACGTACCTTAAGGGGTTAAACCATTCTTCAATGGTTTAAAGGACCACTATAGTGCCAGGAAACATACTCGTTTTCCTGGCACTATAGTGCCCTGAGGGTGCCCCCACACCATGTCCCCTCCCCTCTTGTTAATTATTTTAATCAGGGCTGTCTTTAACGCAGAGCAAACAGGGCAGCTGTCCTGGGCCAAGTTCCTCCTGGGGTCCCACAACAATTTCTTTTAGCTGCCATTTTAAGGTGGAATTTATCAGCAGGGGCCGGTTGGGCTCTGTGGTCCTATAACAGCGCAACCAGGCTCCCTTCTTAACGGCAGCCTGGGAGCAACTGACAGCCATAATAACATTAAGATCAGAGGGATAGCAGACTCCAACATTCCATAAGGCGCATAGTAGTGTTGTTTATTTCTACACGACAAGATAACCAAATCCCCTCAGATACCTAATATTGCCCGTCAGGATGTTATTTTGTGTTGCATGCTGATGAATGTTTGCTGAACACGATTTTCTTCTTCCTGGCCTCAAATTAGAAATTTACTTTGAATTCTCACATTAATGAATAACTCTGTTTAAGAATAGCTGAATGGAAAGCTTAACTGACTTAGAAATTTTTTCCAGTTCGGCTAATTTGACCTCAAATTTTATATTCATTTTAAATTCTCACTTTAGCGAATAAACCTCTTAGTCTTTCAAGACCTCAACAGACCCACTCTGATGTTGCAGATGCAACCTATTACCCAGATCTTCCAAAAATGGTGGACTTGCCGACTGTTGGTCTTCCCCCAATTCACTCTTTTACAGACAAGTACCCCTGCAGGTCTAAAAAAACTATTCTAAGTACCCCTGCCTTGAGAAAGTAATTTCTATTTCTTTAAATTTCAAATGAATGACAGTATTAAATTTAATCCCTTCTTGGAGAACAAGCCAGATAAAAGATAGTAAAGAATATTTTATCAAATAAATATGACAAGAATATTGTGTATGTAAAGAGGAGTGCATGAACTATTAATCTGAAGTATAAAAGTCACAAAATACAACACATATTTAATAGTTACACACAGATGACACTGGCACACACACATTTACACACTGAGGACAGTGACACCAAAGGAAGCAGGCCAAACCTAACAATCCTGCGCAATCATCAGACTAGATGCTCACGTGCCGATCATGTGGATTCTTAAAGGGGAAGTACCCAGGAGGCAGGTGGGACACCTAAGGAGTTGTGTCCATTGTCTCCTATTTAAACCTGCTCATCTGTGCTCCTTGTTCCTGTCATGTTGTTCCGTCTGCTATTTAATTGTCTACCTTTGGTTTGACCTAAGCTTACAATCCTGTGCTGCCTGAACCGACCTTTTGCCTGTCGGACCTTGTCTTTTCCTGATTCTTGCCTGTACCTTGCTCTGGACTTTCTTAGTTTGTTTTTTGCATATTGGGCTCTATCAACTAAACTGTGACAGACAGACAAAATCAATGATTTGACACACACTGACAGACACACTCTCACTTATTTGACACACACCTACAGATACTAAAAGACAAACACAAGTGAATAAATGGCGCTAAAATTATTTTTTAGCGATGGTAATAAATTGTAAAAAGGGGGGAGCTGCACCTCTACATCATAAACAAGCTCTATCACACACTATCAATGAACCATAAAAATGTGCACTGTGTCTTTAAGACATGCAAAAATCACACAGATATCCATGTAGAAAATAGTAAATTACTAGTGCAAATATATGCAAATAGCATGCTGTTCCAATTTAGTAACAGATATCACCTTGAGTAAATAAAGTGCAAAAATATATTATTTAATAGGGATGGGTCCGAATTGCATGAAACAAATTGCACGTCTAGTAAGTGGTTGAGGTGGCAGTCTGGGCACTGCGAGTCCTATAGATGTGTAAGTGGTTGTGGTGGCAGTCTGGGCACTGGGAGCACTACAGATATGTAAATGGTTGAGGTGGCAGTCTGGGCACTGGGAGCCCTACAGATGAGTAAGTGGTTGTGTAAGTGGTTGTGGTGGCAGTCCGGGCACTGGGAGGCTGGAGCCCTATAGATGTGTAAGTGGTTGTGGAGGCAGTCCAGGCACTGGGAGGCAGGAGCCCTACAGATGTGTTAGTGGTGGCAGTCCGGGCACTGGGAGGCTAAATAACCAGGATAGGCAGCTTGGTAATGAAGACAGAATTTTATAGTAGGGGAACCACATAAACAGCCTTTGTACAGAAAAAAAGATCTTCCCAGTAAGCTTGAGGTACGAACTCTGTGAGGGTACATGTGCTGGCTTTTCTGTAACTCTCTGTGTTCAAGTACGGCTGGTCGCTAGAATCGGGAGGCGTGGTCTCGAACCCTCTGACGTCGTGACCGTCTACGTGATGACGTTCTTGAGTGATGACGCGTTTCGCCGTGACGAAGGCTTCGTTGGATCTGCCAGACCTTTGCTGATTATTCCTTTTAAGTCCGCCTATGTGGGCGTTCGTAATTTCGTTCTTACAAAGACGGCCCTTTTTAATTAGATATCTGTATCTGTCTTAGTGCAATTTCAATTTTGCAACTTAATGCATATGTCCACATTTATTTATACAAACAAAATATATCTTAAAACCAATTATACTTTATTAAATTAGACATCTTAAAAGAACTTATCCATATGTTTCACTAGCACAAGAAATAAATATTATACCAGGATATCAATATGAAAATGTTAAAAATAGTATTAAATCACAAAAAGCAAGTTACTTAAAAATCTATATAAAAATGTAATATTAAAAAAATTCAAAAATTAAAAGTGAGAGAGAAAAATAAAAATTTACAAACAATCAAATTTCTTGTACTCATGAAAAAATATATATTAAAGAACTATATAGGTATACTATATAGATATAGTAGTTAGTATAAATACACACATAGAATATGTAAATGTACTTGAAAGGAAGACCTACTAGATGGGGAAGAAAAAACATAAAAAATATTAGAAGTCCAAAATATAAAAATTTTAAATATCATATAACATTGTATAAATCAAATTCAATGTTTAAACCCCTGGGTTCCAAAGTTTTTAATTTATGAACCCACTTAATTTGCGTTACCAATATTTAGACTATAATTACCTACTCTTTCTGTTTTTTTTACTATCTGGATGCCTAAAAACATGAGGTCTTTTGGGTCGTTATTGTGGTAATTTTTTAAAATGCGCAGATCCACGGTGTTGATCACAGCTTTATCTTTAGCCTGCACACTTATTATGTGAGTAAAATCCTTTTTTATTTCATTTAAGAAGATAGTAGGGGGTTCTTTTTTAGGATGATTAAAAGTTAAAACTTGGAGCTTCTCTAAAGGTAATAAAATGTTTTTCTTGTAACAATTTAGACAACTCATTATCTTTTTTAAACATATTCCAATGTTTTTTTACTATGGACTTAATTTTGGTAGAATCCTGATTAAAAGCAAATACCAAAGGTATTAATGTGTTATCTTTCTTGTTTAATTCTGATCCTTCTATAGGATTATCTAGATTGGTATTTCTCACCTCATTAAGTGCCTTATTTATTACTTGTTCTGGATAACATTTGTGAATAAATTTATTATTAATAATTTCCGCTTGTTCTAAAAATTAATTTTCATCTGTGCAGTTTCTTTTTATTATTTTAAATTGCCCTTTCGGTATGTTATCCAACCAGGGTTTATAATGTCCGCTATCATATCTTATATAACTATTAGCACCAAACTTTTTGAAAAAGTTTTTAGTTTTGGTTTCGTCTTTATCAATATATATTTTAAAGTCTAAAAAGTTGATGCTCTCTAAACGGAAAACACTCGTTAAAATGATTCCCCACTCATTGTTATTCAGTCTTTCTAAAAAACATTCTAGATTATTTATTGAAACATTCCAAATGAAAAACAAATCATCTATATACCTACGGTATGTGACCAGGTTTGCCTCCCATTCATGACCACTGTAGATGAAGGTTTCTTCCCATCCTGCCATAAATAAGTTGGCATAACAAGGGGGCAAACCTGGTCCCCATAGCCGTTTCCTGACATTTTAAATACAACTTAGAATTAAATGTAAAATAATTATTATTTAAAATTCATTGTATGCTTTCTTTCAAAAAATCAACATGTATTTCTGAAAACTTTTTAGATTTAAGTAGACATTATTTAACTACTTTACATCCTAAAACATGGGGAATAGAAGTATCTGGTGATGATACATCACAAATAACTAAATCCTTTTTTCTGTACAAAAGCTGTTTTATGTGGTTCCCCTGCAATAAATTCCTGTCTACATTACCAAGCTGCCTATCCTGGTTATTTTGGAGCCATCAAAGTTAGAGTAGGCTGCACTGCTCTCCGTTTGTGAGTCATATTTTTGGCTTTTTCCTATTCAGTTATTTCATAGAGTTGCACTATTATGTGTTTTTGTCTTCTTTTTATGTACTTGCTATTTGGCTGGATATTAGCCCTTGTTTACAATGTAAGTGTATCACGGATTATACACTTAAGTAATATATTTCTACACTTTATTTACTCAATGTGATATCTGTTACTAAATTGGCACAGCATTCTATATGCACGTATTTGCACTAGTAATTTACTATATTCTACACGGATATTTGTGTGATTTTTGCATGTCTTAGAGACACAGCGCATCTTTTTATGTTTTTACACACCTACAGACACACATTCATTCACTAACAGACACACACGCACTGACTGACACAAACACACAAATGTATTTATTTGTATTACTTTTATTTAAGTCCACCCAGCCTCCCTACCTTTTGGAGATCTGGGGTGGAATATTTCCTTGGGGTCCAGTGGGGATCTTTTCACTGAGGTTTAGTTTGGCTGCTGTCTTCTTTGGGCACTGCACGCCAGGGCATCTGAGAGAGCAGTCCTGGAAGAGCATGGACATCAGCACTCTTTCACTGCCTGTCTTCATTCTGCCCTCCGGACGCAACATTCGGGCACAGCAAATACTTGCTGTCGGATAAGCAGGTGCCTACTCTGCATTAATGCACAGCCGGCAGTCTCCTGCTGTACCACCTGCTTGTGGTGCGTATACCCCCTGTGGTTTGCATACCAGAGGTTGAGAACCTGTGCATTACAGTCATCAAGGACAAGAAATCATTTAAAGCTGCTGGTACTGCAGAGGGTGCTGCATTTCTCAAGGCCCTGGGTCAGGCGGACGTAGCAAAAAATGAAACTAACCTCCACACATGGGATGTTACCCGAATCCTACCTTTTACACCTGTAGGGAAACAGGACTCAGTGACATAATTGTATATACTTTTGAAACAAAAAGGCATAGTTTTTTTTTGTTTTTTTCTTTTAAATTCCTGTCTATAGCACTGTACTACCTTCCCATGGTCTTGACAGTGTTTGTGCAGGTGTAAAGGGCTGTCAAAATAAGACTATTCCCTAGCTGTAGACATATTTACATACCCCATTTGAATGACACATTCTCACCACTCCCCAATTCGCTGTAGATTAGGGGTTAATTCTCTTGTCTAGGAGTTTCTTTTTTTTTTTTTATATTTTGAGCACCGGAAATGCCCTAGGTTGAATCTAATTAGCCTATGTACTCTACGCTCCTACTCTACTAGTTATTGGTGTTGTGTTAGAAAATGGGTGTACCACCAGTAGAGACTGATCAAAGGTTACATGCGCGAGAGTACAGCATTGGGCCTGTGGGGGATTATGCAAGACCCTCCAAAATGCAGCGACAGAGAAGTCCCTACTTTGTTTCTGTATATCTATTCACTGGGATGGAATTTCAGCGAAATTCCAAAACGGTAAAAACGAGTATTTCATAAAGATTCTAAGTTTATGAAATACAATGTTTTTGGAGGGGGAAGGAGGGGCGACAGTGCCACTTTAATATATGTGGTATTAAAGAAATGCTCCAATGCAAAATTTACAGACTTTCAGCATTTGGCAATGAACAAATTAAACAAAAGCAATTGAAATAGCTCAACACAACGAATGCTTCAAGTGGTTTCCCCAAATTCAACTTAAAATGCAATTTATAATTACTACTCCAGTTTCAAAATGACAACCCTTTCATGGCAAGCATCTTGGCAAGCATCTTTAGTACTAAGTAGAGCAACCTTACTGAAAACTGGATGCACAGCCAGACACCAGCTTATGGCAGCATTCCTGATGAATCTTAGCCCATTACTCATGAGCAATGGCCTTCAGATTAGTAATATTCTTGGGGTGGCGTGCAGCAACTGCCTTCTTCAAATCCCATCAGAGATTTTCTATGGGGTTCAATCAGGTGACTGTAGAAATTTTCCAGGACTTCTTCTGCAACCAAGCCTTGGTGGAATTTGAGATATGCTTGGGATCATTGTCTTGTTGGAAGGTTCAATGACAGCCAACCTTTAGCTTCCTCACAGATGGCATGATGTTTTCTCCTAGGATTTACTGATACTTCAATGAATACATCTTGCCTTCCACACGCTGCAGCTTTCCAATGCCAGAAGATGCCAAATGACCGAGAGCATCAACAAGCCACCACCATGCTTAAAGGGACTTTCCAGTGCCAGGAAAACAATCCATTTTCCTGGCACTGCAGGTCCCCTCTCCCTTCTACCTCCCAATCCCCGGTTGCTGAAGGGGTGAAAACCCCTTCAGTCACTTACTCGAGACCCCCGCCGATGTTCCTCGGCGGTGGTTTTGGGTTGCCGCTGCTCCTCCTCTTCATTACGTCGGTCGGTGGGTGAGACTGATCCCACCTGCAGAGACCTAATGCACATGCGCGGCAATGCCGCGCATGCGCATTAGAGCACTCCATAGGAAAGCATTGAAAATGCTTTTCAATGCTTTCCTATGGGGAATTGAGCAATGCTGGAGGTCCTCACACAGTGTGAGGACGTCCAGCGACGCTCTAGCACATGTTTTCTGTGCTATGGACCAGGAAGTGCCCTCTAGTGGCTGTCTAGTAGCCAGCCACTAGAGGTGGAGTTAACCTTGCAAGGTAATTATTGCAGTTTATAAAAAACTGAAATAATTACACTTGCAGGGTTAAGGGTAGTGGGAGTTGGCACCCAGACCACTCCAATGGGCAGAAGTGGTCTGGGTGCCTGGAGTGTCCCTTTAACTGCAGGCAAAGTGTTCTTTGAAGCGTATGCTTCATTCTTCTTCCTCCAGACATACCGTTTATCCATTGGGCAGAAAAGTTAGTTTTGTTTCATCACTCCACAGAACAGAATCTCAAAACTTCTGTGGTTTATTTATATGCTTTTGAGCATATTGGAGTTGATTTTTCATGTGCTTTTTGCCCAGTAGTGCTGTAGGCATTGGAATTCTGGCATGGAAACCTTCTGCATTTAGTACATGCCTTACTGTGCTCACTGAAACTTCAGTGCCTGTTGCCAAGTCTTGCTGCAGGTCTTTTGCAGTCACTCCAGGTTTTTTTTTCACAACCACCATTCTCAGAAATCTGGTTGCAGCCATTGATAGCTTCCTTTTTTTGCCCCATCCAGATAGTCAATCTTCAACTTTGAACTTGCCAACTATGCTTCCAACAATGTCTCTAGGAAAATTCAGTGCCTTTGCTATCTTTTTGTATCCCGTTCCTTGTTTGTGAAGGGTGATGATCTCTTCTCTTAACTTTGTGAACCATTCTTTTGACTTAGCCATATTTCTAACATGTAGTCAAATGTGACACTCAACAAACCCCTAACCAGTTCAGGTATTTCAAGTGTTCCAGTTCAAGGAGCCCTTGATTAGTTGCACCAGGTGTACTTGAGACAACACCTGTTTTGCATATTATTGCTGTTGTGAGGGATTCTATTCAGGGGGTTGAATAATTCTGAGACTGGACAAGTCATTATAAGTAGCATTTTCAGTTGAAATTTTGGCTATTTAAATTGCTTTAGTTTGATTTGTTGAACAGCTGAAAGTCTGTACATTTTTACAATAAACCTGATTTTTAATGGGGTTGAATAATGTTGATAAGAACTGTAAGTCTTGCTGTGCAGGTCTAGCTCATTGGCTGAGAGAGTCAGATGAGCACTCTCAGTTCAGTACCTCCCAGCACTGCCAGGCTCAGTGGTAAAGTTTCCAGCCCCAGAAAAGGTGGAAAAGGGGTCTGGCAGACCCCAGGTACTTTGTCAAGTCAGTCTCAGATAGTTCGACTATGTACCCTGGGAGGACACCAGGACACTCCTGACACCATTAGCAGTACAGCTGTAGTGGTTATGGTGCTGAAATTCTTCCTTTAATGCCAAATATGCATTACCTTTTTATTGATTTATCTTGATCCTATCTGTTACTTGTTTGCCCAGTAGGCAATTTATGTCCTTTTTTTGGCACAATTATTAATTGCTGTGTATAGTATGTTAGCATTCCTTATAATGATGTTGTCATGCTGTATATATCAGAATATGGTAACTTGCCTTTGTAGTGGATGTTACAAAAAACAGATGAAGGTGCAGCGCACACACAAAAATATAGTTTAAAATTTTACAAGGCTATTTGAACTCATCTGTTCAGTTCCACCATATGGCCATATTGTGTTAAGCCCGCCACTATGCCACAGTACCCCAATATTTGTGGATCCTTCAGTAATTTTAACGTGGGGGTAAATTAACTAATGCTAGTGCTAAAAGAACTGAAGTGCATTTAATTAATCTGTTGTAAGAGCATTGTGAATATATATAATGCAAAATTAAAGGCACCCAGACAACTTCAGCTTAATGAAGTGGTCTGGATGCCAGGTCCATCTAGGGTTAACCCTGCAGCTGTAATCATAGCAGTTTCAGAGAAGTCATTGACAGCCGCTAGAGGCGCTTCTCACTGTGATTTTCACAGTGAGAAGACGCCACCATCCATAGGCATTGAGAATGCTTTCCTATGGACTGGCTGAATGCACGCGCGTCTCTTGCAGCGCCTGCGCATACAGCCGATGACAGCAGAAGAAGGAGGAGATTTCCTAGCGCCGAGGGAGCCCGGTGCTGGAGAAAGATAAGATTTTAACCCCTTCCTCACCCCAGAGCCCGGCGGGAGGGAGACCCAGAGGGTCAGGGGGACACAAGGACCCTACAGAGCCAGGAAAACGAGTATGTTTTCCTGGCACTATAGTGGTCCTTTAACGTTATAAAAAGAACAATGCAAAAACAAATACAGTGTCAAAACTAAACAATTAAAGTGATAGTGCTTTTATGTATATACTCACACTGCAAATCACATATCTGCTCTATATCACATGATGTGGATGTTGTCATGCTGTATGGTAGCCTGTGCAATAGATATCAAGCTGTATAGTGGATGTTATGCTGTATAGTGAATGTTGTCAGTCTGTGGATGTTGCTATGCTTTGTAGTAGATGTCAGTCTGTGGATGTTATGCTGTATAGTGGATTTTGTCAGTCTGTGTGGAGTTGATGTTGTCATTATAAAGATGTTGTTATGCTGTATAGTAGATATCAGTCTGTGTATAGTGGATGTTGTCAGTCTGTGGATGTTGTTATGCTGTGTATGGTCATGCTGTTATGCTGTAATAGTGGATATTGTCAGTATGCAGATGTTGTTTGTCTGCATATAGTGGATGCTTTTATGCAGTATAGTGGATATTGTTATGCTGTAACGTGATAGACGTTGTCAGTCTGTATATAGCGGATGTTGCTATGTTGTACACTGGATGTTGTCAGTATAAGGATGTTGTTATGATATATAGTGGATGTCAGTATGTATAAAGTGGATGTTGTCAGTCTGTTGATGTTGTAATACTGTGTAGTAGATATCAGTCTGTATACAGTGGATGTTGTTAGTATAAGGATGTTGTTAGTATAAGGATGTTGTCAGTATAAGGATGTTGTCAGTATAGGGATGTTGTTATGCTGTGTAGTAGATGTCAATCTGTGTGTAGTGGATGTTGTCAGTCTGTGGATGTTGTTATGCTGTGTAGTGGATGTCAGTCTGTGTATAGTGGATGTTGTTATGCTGTATAGTAGATATCAGTCTGTGTATAGTAGATGTTGTCAGTATAGTGGATGTTGTCAGTCTGTGGATGTTGTAATGCTGTGTAGTAGATATCAGTCTGTATACAGTGGATGTTGTTAGTATAAGGATGTTGTCAGTATAAGGATGTTGTCAGTATAAGGATGTTGTTATGCTGTATAGTAGATGCCAGTCTGTGGATAGTGGATGTTGTCAGTCTGTGGATGTTGTTATGCTGTGTAGTGGATGTCAGTCTGTGTATAGTGGATGTTGTCAGTCTGTGGATGTTGTTATGCTGTGTAGTGGATATCAGTCTGTGTATAGTGGATGTTGTCAGTCTGTGGATGTTGTTATGCTGTGTAGTGGATGTCAGTCTGTGTATAGTGGATGTTGTCAGTCTGTGGATGTTGTTATGCTGTATAGTGGTGGATGTTGTTAAGCGCATTGCGCATGCGCGCTCCGGGTGCAGCCTCCGCTCCTCTCCAGTGAGCGCCGTGCGGGCTGCTGGCGGCTACAGTGGGACCAGGTGCTGGATACAGTCATAGCGCCGCTGGCTGGGGGCACATTCACCTTTCCCCCCTTAATGACACGCCGTCCTCGGTCCTCTCCACCCAGAACCCCCGTCCTCCCCTGCCCTGTGTGACCCAGCCCGCCCGCTCCCCTCACCATGCCCCTCACCCGATTCCACGCGTCCCTACGGCTGTAGGTGCTCCCAGACCCCCTCCCCTGGCCCACTTGCCCCAGTCATGTCCCTCCAGCAGGGGGAAGGCGGCTCACTCGAGGTCGGGGTGAAGGCCTAGTGTGCAGAGCTTCTTCCGTCCTCCTGCTTCCACCCCTCCCCAGCTCGAACACAGACACCGACACCCCGAGCTCAGCATCAGCAATCATGGCCGAGGAGCAGCAGCAAGCACCCAGAAAACAGCGGCCTGAGCAGCCCCAGCTGCCCCCCTCTGCCCCAGGGGCACTGCCAGCCTTGGTGACAGGTCTGCAGGGCACAGAGGCCAATGCACTGCAACAGAAAATCAAGAACTCCATCTGGTAAGCCCCCTGCCAAAAAAACACCTTCTGCCCTCATTCCTCAACTATTCATTCATCCTATCATTTTATTCTCCATTTCTGATAATAAATATTCCAAATAGAATCCTCTCCCTGCAACATTCCAGAATGTCAGAACTGACTGCATCTCCTGTCCCCCTGCCCTCCTCTGATCCCTCATTGTTCATTGCCATGGCTTGCTATGTATCTCCTCAAACTGGAAATAAATGCAGAGTAAAAATAGAAGTTGGTTTGGTAGTGGCAGCTCAAGATGTGTTTTAGTGGAGGAGGGGCAGGTGAGATATTTATTTTGCAGTTGGAAGGAAGAAGAATAACTGCTGGTGTATTATTGATCTCATGTGGTTATTCTATATTCTGCTCTATGATACATAATCAAATGCATTGCTGCAGATCATGATGCAGTTTTTTATTTTTTAAATATATATTTATAGGTTCCATTGCCATACATTGTTACATTTTTTTTTTATTATTGTTTGTTCACATCATTTTTTTCACCTCTTAGAGCCAAAAAAAAAAAAAAAAAAAATGCAGATTGCTAGGATGCATTTGATATTTTTTTCCTCCATTCACTGGCATAAGATATTTTTCACAAGAATAACAAAGGTGGTCAGATGCTTTCTCATGTGCTGAATGGTTGGCTGATATTTTTTTCCTTACATCAGGTCACTAGACTGATGCCTTGTGGGAAGGTCTAATTCTGATGGATAAAAATCACACCTGTTTCAATGTATTATTTGCTCTATCTACAAGCATAGCATGCAGATCACTATATATATATATATATATATATATATATATATATTTTTTTTTTTTCCTGTTTTCTGCAGATGTTATGGGATGATTGTGGTGATTGATCATGTTACTAAAACGTGCTATTTTTTTTTATGTATATGCTATATTTATACAAATGGGTTTTTTTTTGTTTGTTTTTTTCCCCTTTGCTGTGTCGAGAAGAAAAATCAGCAGTAGATGCTGTTTATATTCCTTCTCTGCTGGTGTCATGTCAAATCCTTGGCAAAATGGCTACTTGTTTGTTAAAGCATATTCTTTAGTGTATATGGGAGTCAATGCTGCATCATTTTACATCGCAGTACATATTTTCATTTTTTGCTTTAAAGATGTAAGATGACATACATTTTTAAATTATAAGGACTAAATGTTTTATTTTTACCTGAAATCAATAAGGATGTGCTTAGGCATTTAATTTTCTGGCATTGAACAGCGTTTGCAGTAGCCAGTTATGTTATGCATGCATTGGTTTGCCTTATTTTCTAATGCAGCATTACATTGTGTGTGTGTGTGTGTGTGTGTGTGTGTGTGTGTATATATATATATATATATATATATATATATATATATATATATATATATATATTTGTGCCCTCATTTTAAGTGCATGTATTGGTGTGTGAAGGTTTTCTTTTGTATAGGTCAGGTTTTGGGGTGTGTGTGTGTGTGTGTGTGTGTGTTTTTTTTTTTTTTGAATGAACAGGATTATTTTGTTTCCAATTAAGGCAGAGCTTTTGGAGGTGGTTGATCAAATGATGTCTCAATTTTGTTTCGAGACTGAAAAATATACCAGTGATGCATGCTTGAACCCTGTAAAGCCCATGGTCCTTCAACTAATAAGCTTTTTTTTTTATTTATTTTTTCTCATGATCATAGGCAGTGGTAGGGTTTTATCCCTTGACCTTGTCATTCAAATGTAATACTCTTTGCACCAGATCAACATCCACACCCAAATTCTTATAAATAAACCTGAGCAGTATTGGACTGATTCTTTTTTATTTATTTTTTACATTGTTCTGTTAAGTAAAAATGAATGTGCACATAAAGCTGCAAAAGGAAAACCTAATTGTGCTCTGTCTATTGTGTTGGTTGCTTATTAATAAACAGCAGTGGAACTGGTACTATTAACACACAGTAGTGGAAAGGTAGTTTTAGTAATTCTATGACATATAACAATGTCAAGGTCATGTGTAAATTACATTAGATGAAGAACACATGTTCTTGCAAAACATTTATGAACAGCCTTGTTTTTCTTTTTTTCTTTTCTGTACTGTGATTATGTAAACCATTTTATCTTGCATAATTTTTTTACGTGCATAGAATCTTAGTATATTTGCCATAGTTTTATATACTGCTTAAACATTATTTGGGGGATATCTGTGTTTTAGATCTGTTATTTAGGAATGTTGTGTGTTGTTAATCTTGGTCTTCATGCACACACACAGATAATCTTCAAGTGCAGATGCATTGGTTGGCCCCAGCTATTGATAAGCATGCCACATTTTAATGTGTTGTGAGTGTAAGACATGGTTTTCTAACACGTAGCTTTGCAGCTGTAGGACTACAATGCTGATGATGCTCTGCCACCTGTGGGCTGTGTATTCTCATGGTAGTTCACGTTCTACCAGAGCTAAAAGGTTATCTGTTGACCTGCCCTCTTATAGAACTATTCTGTGCAAGGTCATGTAATTGAACAAAAACAATTCATTCACAAAATTGGCAATTGTAGGGATTTACAAATCAGGTCAAAATGCCCAAACTGGAAAAATTCTGCAATTTTCCAGACTCTATTATATTGGGCTAAGCATTGCACTTTCCCTGTTACTTCATTACAATTCCAAGTGTAGTGAATACACACCCAAGAGTGTGAATTCCTTTTCAAGAGTTGTGCATTTTGGGTTAATTTTTAAATTTTACATGCTCTTCTTTTTTTTTTTTTCTTCATGATTTTGTAGCTCAGTGTTGCAGGCCCTTCACTGTATATGCAGTCTATAGTTGGATACATATTTTTTTACTTAGCACGTGTCTATACTAGCATTGCATTTTTTCTTTTCTGACTTTATTTTTCACATCTGTGTAGTCCTAATAGTTATTGCTATGTATGTCCATATGGGTCTGTTGTAACTTAGAAATATTTTGTGTTAGTACAGTAGCAGAGAATGGAGGATATGGGAATCAGCAAGGCTCAAACAAGTCCGTGCTTGTCCTCTTACTGTACCGATAAATATAAACCTACAATGTGTTGTAGGCCTCCAGTTCAACAATAAGTTAATCATCGCCCATTTACTCTATTGTGACTCTATATTTGCTTTTGCATGCATGATGTTAATGAAGAAATAATTTTACTGGAAGTATGCAGTCCCTGGATTTTATTTCTTCTTTTTGTGTATGCATTCTTGATATAGAAATCCATAATTAAGGAACACTCAAAGTGCCATAATCACTTCATCTTGCTATAATAGTTATGCTGCCAGGGCACTCCCAGTGTAATTTGTGAAACCACTTTAGAATGTTTTGTCAACTTAATTGCATCCCCTTAGTCTCCCATACTTCATCTAGCCAGTTTACATGGCCCTGCACGGCCCCTAGTAGCTTAGTGTAGCTGACAGGATTCTCCTGCGCCCATTCTAAAACAGTTTGACAAATCACGCACGGAGGACACTAGGGCACTCCTGTCACCGTATCCACTCCAGCAGGCTGTAGTTATGTTGCTTGGAGTATTTCTTTAAGTACCACAGTGAAAGCTCAGAAAAAATATAAGGTGATTTTGTTTTACCTGTTAATTTTGTATTTTTGAAGTACAACCCTCCAAGGGAATTTAGCAAAGCCATCATGAAGGTTATATCAAAATATGAAAAGATTGCCACAAGGGTACAAAATGTATCACCAGAAAAGACCTTCTGAGGTCTTATCCTTTCCCTGGTTTAATATACACAACTATTATTATTATTATTATTATTATTATTTATATAGCGCCAACATATTCCACCACACTTTACAATTATAGAAAAGGGATATGAATAAGGTCATGCTCAAACGAGTTTACAGTCTACGAGGATTTGAGGTAGACAGATATGTTAGGTGTCTTGACCAGGAACACTTACTTGTGGGGGATGTTTGTTCATAACCTTAAGAACTTTACCTTTAAAAAAAACCTCAGTTGGTGGATTTAAGTGCTTTGAGCACTGCTAACTCTTGATCTTGCTATATTTTTGTGCTCCAGTTGATCAGGCAGCCCTCAGATTGAGAAAAAAAGAGTGCATGCAATGAATTGGGTATGTACTTGTAGCTGACTGCTGCTGGGGGGTTATTTGAAAGGGGCCTTTTTTTTTTTTTTTAAGATCCCTCTCTGTCCATCTATCATATTTACTAGAGTGAGCATTTTGTGAACCATCTTAATTTCCTGAAGAACTGAGCAGCTCTGTATTTATAGCAATCAGTTTAAAACTGTAGATATTGTTTGGTATCTCGAATAACTGTGGGTCAAGAAAAGTCATCTTCCTATACCTTGAATATTTAAATTTCCTTGCTATGGTAATATGAGACTCTAAAAAGATGCTGCCATTAATGAG